GGGGGGGGGGGGGGGAGGGAATAATCGTAGCTCGCGCAGAAAGGATAGTTCGGGCGCAATTTCGTCGGAGTTTAACGAGCCTTGAGTTAGTTCCGTATACGAAAAGTCTAAGTTTCGCCGCGGAAACGAAAACAGCCAGGTCGATTTCCCGAGACGCTGCGAAGCTATCGGGGGAACTCGCACACTTTCCGTCCATTGTATAATCCATAACGGCAATTATAAGCGAGTTGTTTCGCGAGCGGAGTTACAAACTGCGACTGCGTTTCGGCGCACTTTGGATATCTACGATCGGATTACAAGTTAAAGGCAGGTAAAAGATAGGTACGTGAGGATAGGACCGAGTTTTGCGGCGTAAAAACGTGAGAAATATGCAGGGAAGATACTGACAAGGAGCGATCCTCGGATGTAACAGCTAGCGACCATCGGTATCGATTGGAACGCGCGAACGGAGTGAAAAATACGCGTGTCCCGCTTGACACGACGATAAATGGAATATGCCGCCTTCGGTGTAGCGACGTTTATACGCGCGACGTGATATACGTTGTAGAGGCGAAGCGACGATTAAAGGCGACGTTTACTTACCGATAACGGTGAGGTTAACTTTGAAGTTTCTCGTCGGCGAGTTCCGAAAGTCGACCCTGCACCTGTAAACCCCCTCGTCACTCTCCCGAAGATCCGAAACTGTCAACTGCGCCGGCGGGTTCGGCCGAAAGGTCGCCCGTTGGCCCCAAAAATGCGAAGCGCTCCACAATTTCGCCTTGCCGAACTGCCGGCTCCTCGCGTCGTAACTGCAACGCACGATGACGAAAATCGTCGATTAAGAAAAAGGAAAGATTCTTTGGACTTTTATTTGAAATATCTTACCGCTGAAAAATAGAATAAGATTCAAGTACCGACAGTCGGGCATGTTCCTATATTTGAACACTTATGGCAACTTATTAATCCCAAATTTCTCAATTTCTATTTTACTCCTTAATGGTCGATAATTAGACCATTAAATATCGTATATCCTTACGAAGCAATCTTGGCCGTGCGTTGGCAAATGTCCGCTAAATGGGACGTTTATCTTACACGTTCAACGAGAGGGAGGAGGACACGAGCCTCTCCCGCTAATAGAGCGAAGAATTACGAAGAATCGCGAGATTCATACCGGTGATTTAATGTAGCCGGCGGCTCCACAAGAGACCCCCGAAATAAGTTCTTATCTCGCAGCACTCTTTATCGCGCCCCGTTACTCGTTCGCAATCAGAGGAGAAGTCTGCTCGCGACTGATATACTTCGTCCGGCCGGCGCAGACGCCGGGCTTCGCGAAGTGTCCTCGGGCCGTGCATACAAATCACGGGATTACCGCGAGAAATATAACCCACCGCGCCGCCGCCGAGTTAAATACCGCAGTTTCGCGCGTCACAAATAGCGACACGGCGGCGAGGAGTCTCGCCGTAGCTCGCGACGCCGTCCGGCGCACGATATTCGCATTTGTCAGCCCGAAGAAAACTTTCCGCGGGACAGAGCTATTTGAAAATCTCCCCCCATGCCGAATACAGGGCGTAAGGAGGTACGGAGGACAGAGGGCGGTCGGGCCGGGCTAAATAATGCGGGTTAAGTCGGCCGGGGATGAAAGTAAGCGGAGGAACGAATGGCCGACGACCAAAGTACGACGCACAATACACCCCGCGGTGCTCTTATCTCACTTCGGCCAATTTTTCACCGAACTTTCGCAATTCGTCATAGTCGAGCAGTCCGAGAGAGAGAGAGAGAGATAGAAAGAAGAGATGGGGCCCCGGAGCTCGAGACCCAATACAGACCGAGAAGTGCACTCGACCGAGAGAGTCAGATAACCTCTTACTTCCCAGGTCGGATCTTTCCGTATAAGGTCTCGCTAAAAAAAGAGCCGCGGCCGGCTATATCGCCCCCTTTCGTTCGTTCGTCCGTCGCGCTACTACCCATCGAGTTGGCCCAGCGAGTGTACAGACGCGATGACGATAAGCCGACTTACCCTGACCGATTGTATCCGTGTCCCGGGAACCACCAGGAACCATTATTATTATCACGTTCGCTTTATTATGAAAGAAATCGTGCATAAATGCAATCTCGGAACGAGCGTCAGATTGCGCGGCAATCATACGCTGTTATCGCGCGAGCGCGTCCGTCCGACCTCACCCGTGATGCTCTCTATCTCCATTACTGAAAGATCAACCGGCATGACGCAGGTGCATCTCGCCGTCTGCGCCGTCAATTATCGGCCGCACGCTCAAACGAGTTCGTAAGTCTAATCGAGCGACGGGGTTACGGCGAAGTTGTGCGCGATAAGACGGCGATCGCGCTCGCCCAAGTTTCGGCGTGTTCTCCTCTTCGCCGGGCCTCGACCCTCGCCTTCGCCGGCACCGAGACAAATTCGATCGGTTCTTAATGAGCGCGACGAGTCGCGCCGAGCGACCGAGACGCGGATTTCACGCGTCAAGCCGCGCGCTCACGGCTCCTTGCTTCTTGCAAGCGCAGCGCGCGCCGCCAGGCAGCCGTGATTTACGCGGTCTACGTGAAATTAAAGGGTCCGCGAACACACGTCGGGAGTAAAAAGGTCTAATTGCGACGGACGACTGCTCCCGAGGCCGGGAGCGAGTAAATCCTTCGCCGGGGAAATTTTATTCGGCGAGGCACGGCCGTGTTGTGTCGCGCGGATAATTAAGCGTGAAGGAGAGCGCCGTCGTCGCCACCGGAACGACGTTGAAACGAGTGCGCCGCCACCCGTGTACAGCTGTATCGAATCATTCCGCTCTGAATAGGACGCGCGTTTCGTCTCGTTTCTTACGTTAATCGCGCGATTTCGGCGTATCGCCGTTTTTCTCAAACCCCGTGAAAACGCGAAGCAACGAAGTGCGAACGCGCGCGCTCTATGTGTGTGTGTGTGTTTGTGTGTGTGGGTCGAGAGTTTGGAGATAAAATCGCGGACTCGATGCATTTGCGGAACGCGCGTCACGGAAATAATAACGAAGTGCAAAGAGAAATATAATATTTGACGAAAATGAAATCCATTTTAATGACAGATTTATTATCGCGTGAAGTGAGGGGTTAGAAAAAATTCACGTAAATTGCGCAAATTTATATGCAAATTGCAGATGAATTGCGAGGAAGAGATATGTGTATGATACATGTGTACTCATCTCTCTCTCTCTCTCTCTCTCTCTCTCTCTCTCTCTCTCTCTCTCTCTTGACATGGATAATATAAATGAAATCGTCGGGAGCATTACGCCGCTTATATTTAACGCGACGCGATACAAAAATAATGATAATTGCAATAGTCGGAATTTTGTCGCGCATTTCACATTGTCATGCGCGCGCGTTTTTCGGATGATAATCCCCCGCGAAAATTTTAATTAACACTGGGTGGCTATCCGTTATTGCCGTCAAAAACAGCAAGTGGCGAGCGATAAAGCATGTCACGATCGCATAAACCCCGTCACGCGTTTTGACTGCGAGAATTTTTCCACGACATGTTCCACGTCCAGATCGTTGAAAATGCATTATTAATTCCGGTGCGAGGACATCCATTGCGTTTTGATAGAGCTTTTATCTATGCAGTTGTACGGGGGTTTTTTTTTTCATTTTTATTTTATTATATTTTATTTCACGAGGCGCAAGAGATCGATTATATTTTCGGAAACGAAAATATGTAAACGTTGATCATTCCAAAAACTGGCCGTAATACTAAATATTTGATTTTTATTTTAATATCTACAACACGACAGACGGTCGCGATTTTTTTATATCAATATTTATAATAAAAATTCTAAAATTAACATTTCCCCCTCTGGCTGTTCTGTGCGGAATTTTTTTTACGGTTAACTGCAAAAGCTATGTGAAATTTTCAGCTGACGCTTGGTTACTCTTCCGGAATCCGAGGCATCACTTCGATCTCGACAAGGAGGATTATTCAGACTTTGCTCTTCCACTGCGTGTTAGTGTATATATATATATATATATATATATATATTTCGTAATTAATAACATTCGTCTTTCGCTTTAATACCGTTAATGAGTCCGGCTCGTCATGATCGTCCGGCGAGATTAGATAGCGAAATTTCAAATCGTGAATGAAGGAACAGTGGAATGCAGCCGACGGTATCAACATAGAGCGCGGAACAGACAGGCCGCCGCTTCGAGATAGAAGCGAAGGACGGACCTAGAAAATGGCACAAAAGGTGGCGGGCGACCTCTAAACAAATTAAAATAATTGCCAGGTCCCGTGCGGAAACTGTCCCGGCGCCATCGGTCTCGGGGAAGGTTTCCCCCATGAATACGACAGCGTCGGCGAAACGAATGTTCCGCGGAGAGGAATCAGGAGGGCGAAGGGGTGACGAGGAGAAAAAGGGGAGGGAATGAGGCGGGACGGGGAGAGGAAAAGGGAGTCGTAAGGGGGACTTAACCACTCTCGGGACTCTTAAAAGGAGCTTAACTTCGCGCATAAAATTAAGGCATTGTAATTGCAGACGGTGTCGCCGCGCTGCGCGTTTCTCCCCCTTTTTCTGCCTCCGGGTCGGTCCGTCCGTCCTTTCCGCTAACCCACCGTTGACCCTCTTTCGCAGCGGCCTGGCCCTTCGAGCCGATCCCGATACCAATCTCGCTCGTCCCCTTTCACTCGAAGGTGGAATATAATTTGCCGCGGCTAACTTCGTTCCGTCGTGCCTGTTGGCGCGACGACGGTAATAAAATGACTTTTAATCGGGGAAAGAGCGGGGGGGAGGGCGTACGCGTGCCCGGACGGCGCGAATTTCCCCGTCGGAATTCGCAGGGGACGGCTGAAAAGGCAGTAGTACAGACAGCATATCCTTCCTCCCCGAGGAAGAAGCGAGCACACCGCGAGAACTTCGCGGTGCATTTCGCTTCCTGTCTCCGCTCGATTTTTTCGTTCCTTATTAACGGAAGTTTCGGAAGAACACGTTTCGCGTCTCGTTTATCATCTTCGTAACTGGATTCTGGCTGTGTTCCGCGCTGATGTAAACTGAAATAAATACGATATCCACGCGGCTGCGAGAAGACGCTTGTCACAGGCCGGATGTAATTATTCCACGTTTTCCCGTGAGGTACGCGCAAAATTCCTAATCTTTCGCTGAATTAGAGGATGATATTTCTTTGGCGAAAACTTAATTGGATCGCCAACTTTTTTGCGCGGCTTCGCAACTTCCGCGAATTAAATAGCCCCGTAAACGAGCCTCGCGCGTTAAATTCTGCTGAAGTAAAAAGCAGCCTCGAGTTAAAATAAAATTCTATCGCGCGCGCTCGTTTAGCGTCGAAGCCTCTTTAATTTCCAGCGTTAAGCCACCCTCTCCCCTTCGCGGAGATCCTCCGGAATGTGGAATTTGCGAGTATAAATCGCTCTGCGAAACATGACCGGGGAAATGATTTCGCCCGTGATTTGCGCCGTGTATAATAACTCGACGCTCGCTGTTCTGCTCGCCGGCGGATAAATAAGAACGCAGCGGATTGACGCACCGCAAAACGATACGCCGTGCGATGTTGTCGATGTGAAACCCGACGGTCGTTTCCGCTGCGGCGCAGCGAAGAGAGAGAGAGAGAGAGAGAGAAAGAGAGCTCGAAGCCCGTATTTTCATCCGGCAAAAATGTAATTTTCCCTGGGACAATTCCGATACTGCGTCGCTCCATGTTAGCCGCGGGAGTCTTCTGTTCCGAACGACGAATGATAAAATGATTTTTAATCGCGACGAATGCGCGGCAACGCGACGGAGTCGAGCGTTCCCGCCGTCCGCGGGGCTTCTCCTCTCACGCAGAT